AGAAAGAGTTGTGTGATCGGCCCTCCATATTAAAATTTTAATATATCTATCGATAAATTTACAGAGAAATGAATTTTTCTAAATAGTTATAGATATTTTAAAGTAATATTAGTAAAATATTAAAATTATCGAAAGATATAATAGTAATTAATAAATTAGATAAAAACTATATTATGCTGTTAACAGATTTATATCTATAATTATTTGAAATTTAGCCAATAAACTTTATATATATTGTTACAAGGCTGTAGCCTTCTTAGTAAAATACAACCAAGTAACAAGATCACCTGGTATAGTGATTGACTATTGCAAATATATATGAGGTGAAGGTGTAATTATTTACTTAACTACACAGCAGCAGGCAAATAGTTTGAGATAGTAACAGTATATAGAATAACTTTATTTAATACAAGAATAGTAATAAGCCTTGCCTGTAGGAATTACTCTAAAGAAGAAATATCACACTTTACAAGATAAGAAGGGTTAAAGGTTATCAGAGTCTAATTGAAGTGTAAGAACTTAAGATCTGGCAGGAAGGTGAAAAAGCACCCTTTATATATCTTTTCTACCCAAGGCAAAGGTACACAACACATAGTAAAGAAGTAATACTTGGCAGGGGAAGTTGGAGGATCATACTAGAGGGAGTTGGGGAATTGTGTTGGGGAAGTTAAAGGAATATAAACATTACTCATTTTGTTTATATTTTATTTATTGTTTGTGAGAGGAAGCTTGGGGAAGGGGAACCTGGGGGATCCTGCGACACAGCATTAGGCTTGTGACATGATAACTTGTGTTCAAAATATTTAAGTTCGTGTAAAGGAATCTGAGAAATTTCATGTAGAGATACTTGGAAAAAATTGTGTTACTTTCTTGTGTTATCTTCGTGTAGCCTAAAGTACTTCTTTGTATAACCTTGTATTACCTCAGATCACGTGGGTCATGTGACTGCGCCACACATCTTTTTAGCCAATCAAATTATTCCTATACAATAACTATAAAATTACTATCTAATATATATAATAATATAATATAATAATATAATATATATTAGATAGTAATTTTATAGTCGTTGTATAGGAATAATTTGATTAGCTAAAAAGATGTGTGGTACAGTCACGTGACTAACGTGACCTGAGGTGACACAAAATTATACAAAGAAGTGCTTTAAATTACACAAAAAGGTAACACAAGAAAGTAACACAATTTCTCCCAAGTACTTCTACACAAAATCTCCCAGATTCCTCTACATGAACTTAAGTGTTTTGAACACAAGTTATCGTATCGCAAGCCTAATACTGTGTCGCAGGATCCCCCAGGTTCCCCTTCCCCAAGCTTCCCCTCACAAACAATAAATAAAATATAAACAAAATGAGTAATGTTTATATTCCCCCAACTTCCTTAACACAATCCCCTAACTCTCTCTAGCATAATCCTCTAACTTCCCCTGCCAAGTATTATTTCTTTACTATATGTCGTATACCTTTGCCTTGGGTAGAAAAGATATATAAAGGGTGCCTTTTTTCTTTCCTGTCAGATCTTAAGTTCCTACACTTCAATTAGACTCTAATAACCCTTAATCCTTCTTATCTTGTAAAGTGTGATATTCTCTCTCTAGAGTAATTCTTACAGGCAAGGCTTATCACCATTCTTGTATTAAATAAAGTTATTCTATATACTGTTACTATCTCGAACCATTTGCCTGCTGCTGTATAGTTAAGTGAACAACTATACCTCTATCTCGTATATATTTGCAATAGTCAATCACTGTATCAGGTGACCTTGTTACTTGGTTGTATTTTACTAAGAAGGCTACAGCCTTATAACATTTTTGGTGCCTCCTGGCAAAAATATAAAATTTTGTGAGAAACAAAATTTACTCTCCCTTGGAAGCAAACCTCTCTTTCTCTCTTTCTTTGGAGGGAAACTTTCTTGCAGAAACTATTTTAACTCTCTGAAGCAGCAGAAGCTATTGAAAAAGCATTCTAAGAATTATTATTTTTTTAGTATATCTTCTAACTTAACTAGTATTGTATTTTATCAAATTGTATTTTGAAATTGTATTGTTACGAAGTTTATACTTTCACCTTCCACTGCTACTAACCTTCTTGCCGGCTATATTTATATTTTGTTTAAAGTCTTTAGAATTTTGTTATTTTACTTGAGTTATTTTATTTTGTTTTATTCGCAAATTTTTTTTCTTTATTTCATTTGCTAGCATCCTTTCGATTTATTTTATTTTCTTTTATTTATTTCATTTAACTTTCTTATCATTTTATCATTTTGTTACTACTAATCTTCTCTAAAGATATTTTAATTTTATATAAGGTTTCCTAACTCATTATCATTTAAAAAATATTCAAAAACATAATCAATCTCATATCGAAAAGTCTTCACACACTATTTCTGTTCTTCAAACCCTTGCACCAGATTTAACTTGCACTCAGTATTATCCTGTAACAACTAATCTTCGTGGATGTTTTGCTGACTTCTGAAATTGGTATTTTCAAGCTTATAATACTACCTCCTATAGTAAAATCACTCACTCTAGCTTTTATCAATTAGTTACTGCTAATAAGACCAAAGCTTGCATAGCTATTCACAATATTATTTTTAGTTGCCAATATCAAGAAACAGTACCTGAACCTCAAGCAGCTGCTTGACTACTTTTGCGAAAATATATCTCTTTTCATAATCTTTGTAAAGCTTCTAGTAATTATAGCAACCATTATGATATTTTTATTGATAATTCTGCTGCTGCTTAGTCCTATATTCAAGTATTATACTCAAGCGAAGAACAAAGGACACTAGAGGAAATCACTACACCTGTTTTACCTCCATCTTCTCTTAACACTGTTATTAATATAGAAGAGCCTGTTGTTGCCTCTACTTCAACTTTTACTCCTATTACTTAACTAGAAAGACAAGAAGAATCTTTAACTCCATCTGATAATTCAGAAAATAATTTAGAAAGAGCAACTCTATCACCTACTCTACAATCTCAACTTATTCAAAAATTTTTAAAACTATAACCTCTTTTAGTCCTCATCGAACCGGATCTTCTTCTACTTCTGGAATCTAACAAGAAGATACTCAATCTGTTAATACTGAGGCCTCAATTACAGAAAAAACTGTTGTATCACCAGTACATACTGTAGATGAAGAAATTACTACAACTATCTATTTATTTGAGCAAAACTATCAATCTCTTTATCTACTAATTAAAACCCCTAGCCCACCACCAGAACGTCTTTATCCTAACCTCTCAAATATCTTTAGTTCAACTTCCATTTACTCTTCACTTTATCCTCAACTCCCTAAAACAACTACTATATATAATTATCTTTTCCAAGAGAATTTAGACTACTTTGAATTGCCAGAATTAACAAATTTATTTGAACAAAGTCCCTTATCCTTACCTAAACAAACAAACCTCAAGCAAATACTAAATTCAAATAGTTCAGAAGAAGAAAATATGAGTGATTTAGAACAAGCTGCTCGAGCTATGACCCAATTAGCAAAAGCTATTGAAGAAGGAGAAGGAGCAGAAAAATCCCTCATCAAGATTAAACCATTTAGAGGAGATGGTACTGAGGATCCTATCGATTGGATCAATGAATTTGAATGAGCTGCTACTGCCAATAACTGAAGTGCTGCTAGAAAACTTGCTATTGCTAAAGCCTACATATATACAATACAGGAGACTGGTTAAAAGAAACAGAAAAAAAAATTCAGCAATATGATACTGGTGATGATGATAATCAATTTAAAGTAAAATTCTTAGAACAATTCATGACTACCAAGAAGCGAGCTATGTAGCAACAGTAATTTTTCAATCTAAAACAAGGAGCAAATACTGTAGATACCTATGTTGTCTAGTTTAAGAAACTATAAAAGAAAGTAAACCCAAACTCAGAGCATGCTTTTTCTGATCCTTTCATTATTTAGCTTTTTATTAAAGGATTGCGATCTGAATATGCTATCCCTGTTCAAGCATCATCCCTAGGAGACTTAGACACTGCTATCACTACTGCCAAGCAATGGGAAACTAGAAGATTAATAGCTTCAGCAGAAGACCCAGTAATAAATGCTATTAGTAACCTTACTAGCTGCTTTGACAAATTAGCTATTAATATAGTCCAATAACAACCAAAACCCAACCAAAACCTGCTTATACAGCTGAAAGAGAATCTGGTTTCTCTTGCCAAAACAATTTTAATCAGGATAGAGCTCTTTGTTATTATTGTAGAAATCTAGGACATTTTATTGCTAACTGTAGAAAAAGACATAATGATAACCAAAAAAAACAGAAACAACAAGAGAAGAACTAACAATAATAATAATAGGAGAAATAATAATAATCATTACAATAACAACAATAATAGAGGAAACAAAGATAGAAGTCAATCTTGTGATAAAAATTATAAGAATAGAAGCCAATCTAGAGACAAAAATTACAGAAGCAGATCTAGAGACCAAAGTCAAGATAGATAGGGACCCAGATCTAATCACTTACTATCACTCTATTACCAAAATGTTAATATAGCTAAAAAGCAATTTGCCTCTAATTCTAACAATTAGGAAAGATTGTTAGACAACTACTCTATCAGAACTGCTCTAACCATCTATATTACTGAAGCTAATAGAGAAAATACCAAACTCCAACCTATTAGCACCATTACCCTTGTTAAATGCTATATTAATATTCAAGATTGCACCTACCCTGCTATTATTGATAGTGGAGGCTCTGTTAGTATGATCTCGAACCATTTGCCTGCTGCTATATAGTTAAGTGAACAACTACACCTCTACCCCATATATATTTGCAATAGTCAATCACTGTACCAGGTAACCTTGTTACTTGGTTGTATTTTACTAAGAAGACTACAGCCTTGTAACAATATATAAAAATATCAGATACTATTAATACTAAACTTTTAAATTTTTACTTAAAATAATTATAAATTTAAATATAAAATCTTCTATTAACTAGAATAACAGATATATATTCTTGCAAGTTTTTTTTTAATTACAACTGTTGCAAATATAAATCTGCCTAAAATATTACAGATAAGAATAATACAATCACTACTTAAGTTATAGTATTTTTTATTTTATAATTCAATATTACAAATATTACTGATTTGACAATAATACCGTATATTTCCAAAAATAAGCTACCTTTTTTTGGACAATTTTAAGGCCAAAAAATCGAAAGTAGCTTATTTTTAGGTTATACAGGTTTTTAAAGATTTATTCCTAATAGCAAAGATAGCTTATTATCAGGTATTATTTTTGAAAAAAATTCTCATACATATAAACTTGTATATTGAGATTTGAACCAGTTTTGTACACATATATCTGGCATGTGCAAAAATGTTTTTTAGTTATTTTATAGCGATCCGTCACCATAGGGATCCTATAATCGACCAATCAAAACTGATCATGTAGATCACATAACTTTATTAAAATTTTTTTTGTAACGAAAAAAACTATATAAAACATATATACAAAATAAATCATACAACAAATAAGTAAGCCCATCCACTTCAAATAACTACAACAAATAAACCAACAAATTTTGCATTGTGACGAAAACTTCAACACCAAGTTGATGACTTCAACAATAAAGACCCAACACCTAAGACGATGACTCCAACAATGAAGGTTCTGATACTACAGACAATGACTCCAACAACAAAGTACTAAAAAGACAACTCTACTAACTCTTGAGAATTGATTCCATATTCAATCGAATCCTAAACAAACCAAAGAAAAAAGAAAATATTTAGCAAACACAAAAATGAAGTTAAAAAAAAAAAAAAAAAAATACTTATCCGAAATAGAAGACCCCAAAAATGACGGCTCTAAAAGATATTAAAAAACAAGAAAAAAATAAGCGAAAAAGAAATAAAAAACAAAAAAAAACCAAGAAAGAAAAAAGACAAAAACCTAAAAACCATTAATTACAACTTACCCACTATTGAGTTACCAGCCCATCTGCTGTTTGAACCAAAGATACGAAGTACAACAAGATTAAACCTAAAAGAATAAGATAGTTCAAACAAATAAATAAATAAAAAAAAAAAGACAACAAAAAAAAAATATCACTACTCACCTGCTTTTGAAACTATGAACTATCCACTATTGTATCATTAACACACCTGCTATTGAATCACAAACTTACCTACTGTTTAAATTAGAGACACCAAGACCAACTAAATTAAATCTAGAAAAAAAAAATAGCATATTAATACAAACGAAAAAAAAAAAGAACAAAAAAACCCGAAAAAAAAAAGAAGAGTAAAAAACAAAAAGAAAAAGATGAGAAAAAA